AGATAGTCAAAAGAGGAAGACACCATTCTGAAACTGGATTTTTTACATACATACTTAAAAATTACAAAATAGTAAGGAAACTAGGAGACATTCAAGTCTATCCACTAACAATCATTAACTTGAAAAGTAAGTTTAATCAGCTATTCATCTAGTAATGATGGCATGCAAATGAAACAGCCATTTTCTCTATAGCATCCAAATGTTTCATGATCCTCTCTGGCCAAAATAAAGGCTGGAACAAACTTGAAATAGCATCATCTGGTACCAGTCCCAAAGCAAGTGAAAATAGTGTGTGTCTGTCTGTGTGTGTGTTTGCAGCCTAACGTTTCCCTTCCACATCTGAGGTGTCTGTGCAGTATGAACTTGGGACTTTTTCCTGCCTTGTAGCCCAGCTCCTCTGGAAGAGGAACACAGTAACTCTGAAAGTCACAGGACACTTCTGAAAATCTGGAGTTCTTCACAAATGTACTGCTGAGTCACCCACTGGTCTGTCAGAATGAGCTGTGGAAGTTTTTCAAGATTCAAACCTTGTGAGGGCAAGAAGATGCAAAATAACACAAAACAAACTGCTGAAGCATTCATGAAAAAGAAGACAATATTAAACCAGTTAATCTATTTAAAGTACAAGTAATCTCTACAGAGGTGAACTTACTGTTTGCTGCATTGAATCCATCGGTCTCCATCCTTTCCACAGTTTCCTTTTTTTGTGCCTTCTGTATTAAGCTTTTCATAACAAAATTTGTCAGATCCTGAAGACTCTGTTGATGAAGAAAGGAAGAAGGAATGTACATTCCATGGGCTACATGAAAGCTGTGAAAACCCATGTCATTTATTGCCACACTTCTCTGAATTTTTTTAAACACAAACCAGAATCTAACCACATATGTATCTACACAGATGGTTTTTTCCAGTGCCTACAGTGGGAACCTACCAGACAGAACTCCAATACCTACAATACCTGTTTCTGAAATAATGCTCCATGTTTAATTCTTTTTAAAAGGTCAGAGTAAATTTTCTCTCCACAGTATCTTCAGCATTTTTATCTGCATTGATCTAATTTTGTTCACTTTGCAACAGCTGCACACAGACTTAGTCTAGTTTTTTTTACACTGCAATTATTCCTGATCTGTATTTTAGGAGATCAAAGATTTCTATACATGGTATATACCATAAGCATATGTTCTGACAGCAGTGTTAATTTTATTTTACTGGATTTCACAGAGAAAACAAGGTTGAACAGTCAGAGAGTAATTTCTACTGCTTTTTAGGAGTAGAAATCTGAACTAATAAGTTTAAACCCACAATTACTTACTAACAAGCCCACTTGTTTTTTTCTAAAAAATCAATTAAAAAAAAAAAGCACAGCAATTATAAAGAGAAAGATAGATAAACTATTAAAGTTATTTTACTGGATTTCACAGAGAAAACAAGGTTGAACAGTCAGAGAGTAATTTCTACTGCTTTTTAGGAGTAGAAATCTGAACTAATAAGTTTAAACCCACAATTACTTACTAACAAGCCCACTTGTTTTTTTCTAAAAAATCAATTAAAAAAAACGCACAGCAATTATAAAGAGATAGATAAAATATTAAAGTAAATAAGACAGAGTAGTTTCAGTAAAATCATTTGTAGAGAAGACAGAACAAGTATTGTACAGTGAAGGTGGTGAAACACTGGAACTGGTTGCCCAGAGAGCTGGTGGATGCCCCATCTCTGGAAACATCCAAGGTCAGGTTGGACAGAGCTCTGATCAACCTGATCTGATTGCAGATGTCCCTGCATGGGGCTGGACTAAATGACCTTTAAAGGTCCCTTCCAACCCAAACCATTCTATGACTCTATGATTTTAAAATATAAGTGTGCAAGATACAACAAAATAAGTTACTGAAAACATCTATTGCTTTTGATATTATCAGTAAAGGAAGTGGCAACAAAGCTTAAAAAGGCATCAGAAAACATCAAAGGTAATGTTGTCTCCATCCAATTTTACACTTAGGTAGCATCTTTTGTATTGTATGAGGTAAATGGTAAAGCTGCATCCCCCATCTTCCCTAGCACAGACTGGTTCTTCTGCCTCAAACAGGCAGTGGCAGTTACAATCAGACCAATCAGAAAAAAGGCACAAGGAAACATTAAGTGCCAGAGTAGAGGATATCCAGCGAGTTCTGCACTGCTGAACTGTCTCAAAGCCCTTACACAGAGCATTTATCCTCCCTCAGCTGCAGGCAAAATCCACTGCAACTGCAATTCTATTTCACTCAACACCTCTGGGCTTCAATTCCTACCAGCTATAGTCAGTGGTGTGTGTTTCACAGCAAGGTGCTAATGTCCTGGCTTGCAGGATGGTATAGCCAATGAGGCAAGGTGGAGCAGCTTTAGCATGAACCACTGCTGGGATAAGGGACTGACAGCTGTCATTAACAAACCCCAAAACATCTGTTTTGAACTATACCTCCCAAATCATCCTCAAACCCATTTTTTTTCTCCCTTGTCATGGTAACTCAAGGGTGTCAACACTTTTTATGTTTCCTCCCCTAGTTCCAGAGTCCAGCATTTGCTGCCCTAACTACATCTGCAACCACATCACAGAAGAATCTCTCTGTCATTGTGCCCAGACTCGAAATGTCACTTGGCAATCAAGCCACAGTTTCTCACTGCAGTCTACTCTACTTTGGAAAACTTTAACTTCCAGCAGCAAGAACAAAAAATCAAAATACTAAAAGTACAAAACAAAGGCAGGATTGAAACAGAAATAAAATGCATTTAAAGTCAAGTCAACCTACTAGATCCCCAGATGTATTTGCACTGACTATCTCTTGTCTTGCATTCACCATTATAGCAGCGACCCTAAACAAAACACAACAGGTTAGTAATGAGAACTGAACACTGATTTCAATTTCTTCCCCTCCCCCAAAAAAGGTCTCATTTGGATTCTTCACACTCATACTGGGATGTAGATTAGTTTTCATGAATTAGAGTAGGCCCAGTTGGTGTCCAATACATACTGACATTCCAGCAGCTGCTTTGTACTTCCCATTTACACATTTGTGATGAACTTATGAACATGGAGAGTATAAAAGATCTACATGGAAAATCTACTCACAGAGTGCATAAAGCACAAGCAACACTGATGTCCATAAGACAAAATTTATGAAGAAATATGGAAGACAAGATTTAAAAAAACAAAAACTTGAATTTGGTTGATTTCTATTTGCTGACATGCAGGGATTTTAAAACATTGCATACCTGATTAGAATCACAGGCATACCCATCTTGTTTATGAAGGTTTGGTGGACACTGCAAAAAAATATGTTTTTTAATAATGTGTACTGTAATAATACATCCAAGGATCACATATGGAATTTTCCAGTTTTAAAAGATGATTGTATAACATAAAAAGGGAGTAGATAACAATTAGCACAGGAATCCTTATAGATACAAATACAAAGGAAAAAATTAACATCTTGAGCCACAAAATACAAGGTTTGATACTAATTCTCTGCATATTCTAAGTAGAAATTAAAGAGGTGAGGCAGAATGAAAAACAAAACATGTTCAGCAACAGGTATTTGGTAGCTAATACTGAGGCTATGTTTGCACCACTGCCACTACAGGGTCTTTTCTGACCTAAATGATCCTATGATTCTATACTCTATTAGCTGTCATTTTCTACATTTATATTTTAAACTAGTTTATTTCTCAAAATCTTACTGTTATCACCTTTGAATCCATTTACACTTGCAGTATATTCTTAGTTGTTCAAGCTACAGACCAAGCAAAGAGTAAAGGAGGATGTCTGCCATACTATAGAGATACACAAAACCCCACAAATTTTGAAAAAACAAACAGACAAAAACCAAATAAGCCTACAGAAGTCATATTTTGAGTCCACTTAGGTTAATTTTTTTTTTTGCTTTAAGTGACAATTTGTTCCTATGTTTAATTTTCTTTTTTTTTAGGATTAAATAATAACTCCCAACAGTTATTTTGGGTAGACAAGTGTACAGCTTTTTTTTTTTTGCTTTAAGTGACAATTTGTTCCTATGTTTAAATTTTTATTATTTTAGGATTAAATAACGCACAACAGTTATTTTGGGTAGACAAGTGTACAGCTTGTTAAATCTGGATTTTCATCTTAAATTGATATTAGTTGCAAACAAGCATCAACACTGTAAGCACAGAAAGCTTTTGCATGCATACCTGGCCAGAATCTCCAGTGCAGAACTCTGCAATATCACATTCATTCACTGCGTATCGACAGTCATAGCCTCGTGGGAAAAACTAGAAAATGAAGAATATCATTCAGGACTAAAACTAAACCAGTCTGAGCTGTAACAGGCTGCACGTGACTTCCATGGAAAACAGCACAGAGGTACTGCAGCAACACTCACAAGGCAGGATGTGTTGCAGCAGGGTCCATCGCTACAGTGAGCGCCGTTGGAAAGAGAGCACTTCTTACAGCAGTCTGCATAGCACTCCTGAAGGAAATATTAAGCAAAATGTTTAGTTTTCCATTTTAAATAAGTTTTTTCTTTAAAATTCTTTCCAACCAACTGTTATGTATCAGCAGAAAAAAGATGCAGTTCAGCACTAGTGGCTTGAAATGATCAGCTGGAAGAATCCCTTGCAATGCTCAAGTACTAAAGGGACAACAGTGACAATGTGTAGATGTCACAACAGTGACATATATGCTGGAGTGACAAGGGGATTCACACCTTCTGAAGCCTCTTCACTGGTGTGGAATAGCCTGTGCCAAATCCATGCTGCTCAGTCAAATTGCATTCAATGAAGAAAAAAGATAAACTATGAGTGCAGTTATGTTTAAATACTAGAGCTAGAACTCCAATCTCTGGGGCAGACTTTTGCAAAAACATTATTGGAATATTTCTGCAACAGAGAAATAAAAACCAGTTTAGCTACTCTGCCTGCACACAGGTACCTATCTCCAGAGCATACATTAGGAGTGTACCACTCCAGGAACCCTACCCAGGAAAAGTGAAGGGCTAAGCACTGGGAAGCAGTTACACCTTGTCACTAGTGTAACAGGGGCTGCTCTGAGGACACTGGCTTTGCACTCATTCTCATTTGAAAAGAAAATGTTTTAACACAGTCCTTCAATGAAGTTGCTCCATAACAACAGGCAAAACCAACTTACCAATCACATAATTTATCTTAATATATTTTGTCTCAAAGACTTGTGAAGCAACACAGAACTCTACTTGCCATTCGGAAACCGCAGTCACATTCCTCTCCTGCTTCCACGTATCCATTTCCACACTCAGTGGTTTCAAAGAGCTGAAAGCAGAAAAGCCCCCCACCCCAAGTAAGGATACAACCAGTGTCAAATGACTTTTCTGCCACACACAGCCCATTTCCACTGTGCTACAGAAACTCTCACAGACAATACACACGTTGTGCTACTGCCATGGGGAAGGCAGTGTGTTTTTCAAGTGCTGCTAGTCACAATCATTCAGAAATGACAGGAGTGCAGCTAAATCACACTTCATTGCTGTCCCTCTTTAGCAGAATACTGATCTCAGAAAATTATTATAAACAGAGAGGCAATACAGTAATACTCAAGGGGAACTTCATTCCTATTCTATGGCATTAATCATTCCATATATATTCATACTTATTCTATAGACTCCCATTTCTCCCACAGTTCCTTCAAGAAACCAGGCATGATCTCTGGGGTCTACCCAGGCACCCGTAGTTGCTCATACAATTAGCTACTGGCTATTCCAGTGTAACAGGTCTGTGCATGAAAATAATGCACAATAAGAAACACTACCAAAAGGAAGTCCTGTGTGCCTTATTGGTAAGTTAGGGTATCACAACCCCTCATTGCTTAGCAAGAGAAATACATTCGTCACTAGAACAAGGCTGAAATGAGAAGTTAGGAAGTTAAAATGAGAACAGATAAACCTACAGCTAAATAAGGGTGAAAGACACAAGTCAACATGATCTTTCTGCATGGACTTAGTGGCAGTACAGCTGTTAAGGAGCATCAAGATATGAAGCGTGACATAGAACAGAGTACAAATTATTTATAAACTTGGATGGAATTCTTCTTTGGTACTTGGGGAGTGGGGTGGAAATAGTAGAAGTAAAACTACACAGATGCAACACCCATGTGTGTAAGCTTCCAGTAGCAATGCTGACACAATGCAGAAAACCAAAATTTGTTTTCCTGTATCAGCCACTGTTACTACTATTGATTGTTACTACTTTTGATTTCTACCAACATATTTCTTACCTTCATTGGCCTGTTGAAAAGACAGGCACCTCCCCCACGAAGCAAAAACTCCTTGTATTCTGCAATGCTGCATTTGGAGAATTTCCTGGAATGGTATACCCTAAAATGGCAGAGAGTTAACTGAGTAACTGCACTGAAACACCAACAAGGACTGGAAAGGGGAGGAGGAGGTCAGAACTTTTTTTTTTTAATACTGTAAACCCCAGTTTCTTACAAGCACTGAGTGCAACAATATGTCACAGCTCAGTCATATCTTCAAACAATAATATCAGAACAAAAGAAAGCTGTTTTAAAACATTTTACATTTTTATATTTCTCTTATATGGACCTACAGTATATGAAACTGTAGTCTTCTAATCTCCTTAATAAGTTGAAACCACATTATCACAAGAGCTGCTATGTACCCTCCTGGTTGCAAGCATAATCCAGTGTTCTTTTAGGTTTGTTTTCTCTGTAGCTTCAGCTTAAAAAATAGACTACATTCCAGATCCCTGATTTCAGGCCAGGGTTTTAAAACTGTTCAATTCACCTGATCCTGTTAATAAGGTTAAGTTTTAAGGTAAATGTAATTGTAGCTATAAAAACAGCTGTATAGGGTCAGACTAAAAATTTACTTTCCCCAAATCCTATCTCTGATTTTGGCCCTGAGAACATGCCCAAGGAAAAACAGAGAACAGAGCACCGTACAGCTACTTGCAGAACATTTTTCCAGCTTCCAACAATTTTCAGCTCAATGATTTTCTTGGGATGCCTTATTTAGTCTTATTTAATAACCTTCATTGTATTTTCTCCTATGAATTTGTGCAAAATCTAGCAGCTGAAGGATGCTACAGCAAGAAGTTTCACAGCTTAATTGCACCCTGATAAAAGAACAATTTCATCCTGTTTTTTCTGTCACCTTATTTGGTAGTCTCATTTCATGTCTCCCTAGTTCTGGCAATGGAACAAACAGGAATCATTTGCTATGTTGTTCATGATGTTACAAATTTATCTCATATTTCCTCATCTCCATCTTCCTCCCAGCCTGATAAAACAAATTATTAGTCTTTTCTCACACAGAAACTGTCTGAGATTTTTATTAGCCATGTTTTGAGATCTGTGAATGAGAACTATTTACACTATTAAAGATAGGGGTAACCATGCCATAAAAGGTTCTCCATTCCTTTCCTAGCAGCCTGCTGCTACTGAGCTACCATTTCCCCACTGAATTATTCTATATATAAACAATATCTTCTGGCACTGATGGAGTTAAGTGAAAAGGCTTTACACTGCTGCTAATTAATCAATCTCTTAATTTATTAGTCCTTTTTCACCTTCTGGGTGCCCATCATCTGCTCCTGGCATATTTTTTTCCTCTGTTGTCTACAAGAGGTTTGTTCCACAGCCCCTGCTACTGGGATTTCCATCTGAGGCTGACAAGTCTGGAGAAGGGCTTCCCCCTCAGACTTCACTGACTATTTAGCTAAGAATTGAGAGCACTTGCTGAAAGCTTCAGGTTTCTACTTTTATTCACTTAAACAGAAGCAAAGAGATCTCTTTAATCAAGATTAGAAATGTAGAGGAACTGAAGGAAAAAAACTTGAGGAAGAAAACAGAAGTATCTCTTATCAATACTGTATTGTGACACTTTTTCAGTTGCATGTAAAAATTATAACTGGATTTCTTTAGTGAAAAGTATACATTCTTCACTTTTCAGTAACTGTAGGAATAGGAAAGCATTAGTGACAACACTGTACTTCAAAATATAACTTTTATGAATAACTTCCTAAAAGTTATTCATAAGGGGCCTACAGGAAAGCAGGGGAGGGTCTATTCACAAGGGTTTGTAGTGACAGGACGAGGGGTAATGGCTTTAAGCTAGAAAAGGGGAGATTTAGGTTACATGTTAGGAAAAAGTTCTTCAATAGGAGGGTGATAGACCCCTGCAATAGGTTGCCCAGGGGTGGTGGAGGCCCCATCCCTGGAGACATTCAAGGTCAAGCTTGATGAGGCTCTGAGTGGCTTGATCTGACTGGAGATGTTGCTGCTTATGGCAGGGGGTTGGACTAGATGACCTCTGGAGGTCCCTTCCAACCCAAACATTCTGTGATAAAAAGTGAATAGCAAAGGGAATGAATTGCTGATAATTGAAATCATTGATCTGCACGTTTGGGTTGTTCCAACTGCTTCTAGTTTTTCATTCATTAGTCCTAAAACACATGGACAAAACTGCATACATAAATATGACACAATGTAAGCTATGAACTCATTCCAGAGCCCTCAGTTACTGAAGAGTTATGACATACCCTGTTTCCTCCATGATGCAGCCACCCCAGGATTCAGTGCAGTCACACTCTTCTCAGACAAGACCAAAATGTAACAGGAAAGGAGAGCAGTTATAAATATGCTTACAATAAAGGACTGGCTATAAAAATGGGCCTTGACTAATCATACGAAGGTTAGATGGTTGCTCAGCTGTACAGATTTCAGCCCTAAAAAAATAAATTAGCCTACTTACAGAGATACTAGTACACAATATAAATGTGGTACTTTGTAATTACTACATCTGCACATTCTTAGATGTAACACAAAGTTTCAGGCAGTAGAGAAAGCTAAAAATTGCTGGCAATGTCCTTCCCTGTATGCTCTCAGAACAGGCAGCACAAAGGTATGTGCAATACATGACACTGATGCTTAAAAATGTTCACATTTCCCCCTCCCTAAAATATGTACAGAACACCCTGAGGGAGAAGTGTTACTGGACAGGCCATATTCCTCCCCTTTAGCATAGAATGAATAATAGTAATATGTGAACCAGCCAATTAAACATTCATTAGAAAATGCAGTTGAATGGAAATGGATCTACAGCTACTGACAGCTACAGCATAAAAGCCAACAGTGACCAAATTCAATAAAGAACAACAAAAGATCAAGATCTTATGGTCAGTAAAACAGATGTTACAAAGTACCCATAAAAATGACCTGCTAAAGAAGTAATAATTCAAGAAGGAAAGTTCTCTTTTCTAGTTACTACTGCAAATTCATACTGCTTCTCTACAGAACATTCACAGATTTATATGGTTAGTCTGCTCTATCCAGGTCTTTCATTAATCCAAATAAGGAAACTAAGCTATCATTTAAAAAAGCTCCTATCTTACAGTTTAAAAAGGTTCCAATTTCTGAATTATATTAATTCTGTTTTGCCTTTAATCAAAAACAATGACATACAAAATATTTTAGCAATTTGCAAGTTTACACAATTCAAAAGCAATGCTTTACAAATTTCTGAAGTGATTCCAAAATAAAGTCAGCACTATCATTCACATTTTTAAAGAAGAAACAGAGAAAATAGCCAAACTGCTTACAAGATATGAGTGGCTAAACCCAGTAATTTTCTTTAACCTCCCAAAATGGCTTTTGCTGCAGCTATTGCTACTACACTCTACACATGTCAAGGTTGCATCAGTCTAACCTGCTGGCTGTGAAGCAGCAAGGTGACAAGTTGAGCACATGCCACCCTGGTCTAGGTTACAGCTTCTTGCTGTTCCTTCAATTATAAATGAGGCAATTTTGTATTTTAAGAAATCAATGATAATTCTACAAGAATTAGGAATTCACTGAGGTCATTGCAAAATGAGTGCTGAACTGGTGGCTCTGATTCTGGTTAAACACAAGCATTGGTGCATCTCTCTCCAAAAGTAGCAATTCTTGCTCTACAGCTACAGCAAGTTTGGTATCCATTTCAAATATTACAAAGGAAGAGTTTATCTGTTTAATTTAGGAGAAAAAGAAGGCTCCATGGACATACTCTGTTTCCTGGCAGCTGGCTCCCATTGTATTCCAAGGTTCTGAGCAAGACTTTGGGCCAGTTCCTGTGCCATGGCCAAAGGGAGGCCATACTGCAGTTCAGGAGCAGCACAGTTGAAAAAGAAAAACAACAAAAAAGAAAATGTAAGTTATTGTAATGACCACTACACCAGCTCCTTCTGACTTACCACATACCTACTACTTGAGTAATTCTGTACATCCATCACAAATCTGTGTGCATATAAGGAAAATAAACACAATGAAGTACATAAGGGAAAAAAATTTTCCTCTCTCAACCTGAGGGAATCCCTCTCTGCTGGTTAACCTACAGAAAGCAGTCTGATAATATGTGTAATATACTTTTGTATTATATGATTAACCCATGCTAAGAGAGGAAATTTTCATTATCAATTTCACACTGCACTGAGGAAAGTTTTTTTAAGAAAATTAATACACAGGGACAAAATTTTTCTAGTTTTAATGTTAAAAATAACCAGTAAGAATTGCATGTCATCAGCACCTCAGAAGATCAAGCATCTAATACTGAGGAGACTCAAAAGGATGTTCAGTGCTATATTTCAGATACTCCTATCTGAGATTTCTGGGTCTACATTTCTGTCAAATATACTAAAAGCAAATTTAAAGTCTTACTAAGAGAGTAATGCAGACAGGAGGAATGCTTCTTAAAAAGCACAGTGAGCAGCAGTTTAATGATGAAGAAGGTTGGCTGTAAGAATCCAAACTTTTTAGTATGCAAGTTATCTTTAAAACCCTGAATACTTAAACTCTAAGGTTACAATGTGCAGTTTCTATTTTATTTCACCTTAGTTGTGGAAAAAAAAGAATTACCTCATTCACTCCTACTCCTTTGGTCACAGAGCAAACTCCTCCAAAGTAACTTAAGCTGCTCCTTTTGTAATGAAATGTCATATTCCTTACAAACAAAAATAAAGAAAATATAACACTTGGACACTTGGCCACCAAGAAGTTTGAAAGATCACACTGACACACTGTGGTACCTTGCATGCACATTAATCCTCATGTAGCATCAAAAGCAACCACAAGTTTATAAACAGAACACTGACACTGAAGGAGCTGATTAGATACAACTTTTGACAAAGGTATTATTTTTACCTTGCAGAGTCAGAATCAGTCCCAACCCACAGGAAAAACCAAGCAGAGAAAGCTAGAGTACCAATCCAATAACATTTCCTTTAAAAAGATAACTATATTCCAATTTATACTCTGTCAGAAAGGAATTCTGTACTGAAGTGTATCAGTGTTGAGAATTTTTTCAAATTATGCTCTTAATCCAAACCAATTCAAATTCTAGTTTCAACTGCAAATAAGAAGACTGAGAAGTATACCTGAGGGAAAAGTAATTCAGTACTGCTCTTCATCAGCACTTTGCATATGTTCTGAATAATACCATTAGCATTGTGTTGCAATGCCTGTATTAAGACAGTATAGATATGACTAAGGCTGGAGGAAATTCTTCATCCCCTATTTTTATCTTCCTCTGCAGGAGATGAATAATAGGAGAATCCCATAGGAAGACATCTGTCACTCTATCCTTCTACTATGTCATGCTGCTGGAAGCAGGCTTAATATCTTTATGCTGCACAGCAGAGAACACTCTTCCTCCACTTTACTTACAATACCATGAAGCAGAAAATTACTGTTGCCAAAGGCTGATGTTGTGCCTAATGATGCACATGAAATTCCCCCTCAAAAATCACAGAATCATAAGAGTCATTTAGGTTGGAAAAGGCCTTTAAGGTCGAGTCCAATCATTAACCTAACTTCACCAAGATGCATAGTGTCTCAGAAAACTTTGATTACAGCTCTAAAGGAGGAGACTTTCCATTAACAAATCATCAGGGCAGCTAACTGTGTGAATAAATATAGTAACTGTAATGCTCTTGTGGCAACACAATGCTGCCAGCTCTGCCCTCTGCTGCTCTTGACTGGAAAAGCAGAACAATTACAGACCTGATTAGCAAAACCAGGCATCCTAAAGGGCTCAAGAACACTTCAAATATGTGACACTGTCTCCAGATTGCAAAGATATAAGGAATTCATTATAGAAAAACATATCAACATGACTATAGTCTTAACTACACCTGTTAAAAATAGACAAATGTGTCAAAAATAGATTAAGCTTCCTAAGGAAGGCAGATGTTGATGGATGTAGTGACTACCAAGCAAAATAGTAAGCACGAAGAGACAGGTAGAGCAAAGCAGCAGCCAGAAAGGCACAAAAACCCCACAACAGTGAGGGGCACTGTGTGAGGGTACCCACGAGAGCAGGTGCACAGCGTCAGCGTGCTGCTTGATGTGCTGCTGCCGGTACTTGGAGAAGTCGTGGAGCATCTGCAGGGGGTCAGGCTGGATGTTGATTCGGTCTCTGTCCGTCCAGGTCTCCACAGCAACCAGCACCACCCTGGTGTTCAGCTGCTCCTTGTAGATCTGAAGGCAGAGACAGGACACGCACAGGAGTAGAACACTGGGTCAGACGTGCACAGTTAGCCAGCAAGAGTCAAGAGGAAGGACAAGAGGGATGAAGCAGGAGGGAAA